CTGAGGATTTGAAGTTGCAGGCTCTGGCTACGATTTGCTTAAGCCTCGAGAGCTACAATTACAGTCTGGTGCAGGATGCGGTTACAGCAAAGGAAGCCTGGACGAAGCTGCAATCTGCATTCCAGGACAGTGGACTAACCAGGAAGATTGGACTGCTCAGAAAATTTACGTCGGTACGGCTGATCAACTGTGCTAGCGTTGAGGCGTACGTGGACGAATTAATGAGCACAAGCCACAAGCTTGCATCCGTGGGCTTTAAGGTGGACGATTCCTGGCTAGCGGCGATGTTGCTGATGGGTCTTCCTGATCAGTACGAGCCCATGATAATGGGACTCGAAGCCTCTGGAGCGGCTTTGACAGCGGATGCAGTGAAATCCAAAATTCTACAGGACGATAAGCTGGATCGTGGTCCGGTCAGCAGCGGCGCGGAAGGTGCCCTGTACAGTAAAGCGAACCGGAAGAAGCCAAGCGAATCCAAGGACGGTAGCAAAGGCGAAAAGTTATGTTACACCTGCAAGAAGCCGGGTCATTTAGCTGCCAAGTGTCCGGAGAAGCAGCAGCAAGCGAAGGCGAGCAAACACAAGGGTCTCTGTTCCATTTTTGCCATGGGAGACGTCAGCACCAGTGAATGGTATTTCGATTCGGGTGCCACTTGCCACATGGCACGGCCGGATCAGAAATTTCTCGATGAAGTCAAGATGGACCACAACGTCGGAACGGCGAACAATGCCACTATGAAGGTCGTAGCGAAGGGTTCAGTCGTGTTGGACAGCAACGATGGTCGAATCGATGTCAGCGGTGTTCTGAAGATTCCCGACCTAGCCACCAACTTGTTATCCGTAAGTACGATCTGCAAAAAGGGCAAAACTGTTATTTTCACCAAAGACAGATGCGAAGTTCGGGACGAAGACGGTGATCTGGTTGTCACCGGCGTCGAGGAAGGTGGCCTCTACAGAGTCAATTGGCCAGAGAAGTCGTTTTTGGCAAGCGGCATGGAGCTCTGGCATCGACGTCTGGGGCATCTTCACGAAGGTGGTTTGAAGAAACTCAAGCGAATCGCCAACGGAATAGATTTCCAAGATGGTTCGTTAGAAGGATGTGTTGCCTGTCTGGAGGGCAAGCATACGAGGCGTTCATTCCCAAGCAGCGAGTCAAGAGCTGAAGAACTGTTGGAGTTGGTACACTCCGACCTCTGCGGACCAGTGGAGATTTCGTCGTTGGGTGGAAGCCGTTATTTCATGACGTTCCTGGACGATGCAAACAAGCGGGTGGTGGTTTACTTCTTGAAGCAGAAAAATCAAGCACTCGAAGCGTTCAAGTCGTTCAAGGCCAAAGCGGAAAGACAGACGGGCAAGAAGCTAAAAATCTTGCGTTGAGACAACGGAAAGGAGTACGTGAATGCAGATTTCCGGAAGATGTTGGAGTCCGATGGGATTCGACATCAAACCACGTGCCCGTATACGCCTGAGCAGAACGGGGCGGCAGAGCGCATGAACCGCACGCTGGTTGAAAAGGCGCGGTGCATGCTCAACGATGCGAAGCTGGGAAAAGAGTTTTGGGCAGAAGCTATTTCGACCGCGGCTCACGTGGTGAATCGATGTCCTACTCGTTCCCTGGAAGAGAAAACGCCGGAAGAGGCGTGGACCGGAAAGAAGCCGAATTTGAAGCACCTCAAGATTTTTGGCTCGAGCGTGATGACTCTGGTACCGAAAGCGAAAAGGAAGAAGTTTGATCCCAAATCCGAGAAAGGCATTTTCGTCGGCTATTGTGAAGACACGAAAGGTTACCGGGTGTATGACCCAGAGAATGACCGTTTCCACATTAGCCGAGATGTCATGGTACTGGAAGAAGGCGTCGCTATCTGTATGGCAGAACAACGAGTGCAGCCGGTGGAGTTCATGGAGCTTTGTTCGGATGAAATCCACGATCGTCCTGAGTCCGGTGCAGCTGATACTCCTGAAGATGGTCAACACGCTGTGCTTCCTCTAGGCGAACAACCGAATGGCATCGTCGTACCTGGTGCAGCCGGGCCTGCTGTTGTTATCGATCAACCGGGTGGCAATCCTGGTGAAACCGAAACAACGGAGGAAGACATCGTCGTTGTCGACAGTTCGTCCAGTGAGGCAGACGAATTCGAGGACGCCTGTGCCGATTTTGCGCTCCCACCGCAACTGATTAGACCAGCTGAGTTGCAGCAAGGGTTAAGGCGCAGCGGTCGGGAGCGCCGTAATCCAGGCAAGTATAATGACTTTATTAGTTACGGTTCCTTTTCTGGTGGTGTTCATTACCCTCAGTTATCCTTCAACACGACGAGCGATGATGATACGATGGATGATCCGACGAGCTACGATGAGGTTCTGCGGCGGCCGGACCGAGATCATTGGATTGCGGCTATGCGTGAGGAAATTACATCCCTCAGCGAGAATAGCACGTGGGTGCTCACCGATCTGCCTGAAGGGCGGAAAGCGATTCGGAACAAGTGGGTGTACCGAACGAAGCGAGGTCTCGACGGAACCATCCAGAGGTACAAGGCCCGCCTCGTGGTGAAGGGCTGCTCTCAACGACCTGGTCTGGACTACGACGAGGTGTACTCCCCGGTCGTGCGGTACGCGACCGTCCGGTATCTGATGGCACTGGTGGTGCGGTACAACTTGGATATTGACCAAATGGACGCGGTCACTGCATTCCTGCAGAGCGAGCTGAAGGACGAGGAGATCTACATGCTCCAGCCAGAAGGGTTCGATGCGTCGAATGGAAAGGTGTGCAGACTGAAGAAGGCCCTCTACGTCTCAAGCAGTCCAGCCGCGTATGGAACGCGCAGTTGGATGTGGTGCTGCAGGAGTTCGGACTGAAACGGTCGAGCGTGGATCCCTGTTTGTACTGGTGCATCCGTGGAGGAAAGATGATGTTTGTGACTATCTACGTCGACGATCTCTTGATTTTCACAAACGATCGGAAGCAAAAGAAGAAGCTGAAGGCCCATCTGCACAAGCGGTTCCAAATGAAAGACCTCGGGGAGGCGCAACAATGTCTTGGCATCAGAATCACGAGGAAGCGTGAAGAAGGCAAGCTGTGGTTGGATCAACAAGCCTACATCGAAGACATCGTCAATCTCTTCGGTATGGCCGATGCCCACCCAGTTGCAACACCAGCAGATCCAAGCATCAAGTTGGACAAGTCGATGGCACCGAAGACGAAATCTGAAATGGAAGAAATGAAGTCAGTGCCATACAAGGAAGCAGTCGGGTGTTTGTCGTTTGCAGCTCAAGTCACCCGACCGGATATTGCTTTTGCCGTCAACGTTGTGAGCCAGTACAGTGCCAACCCTGGCCGTCCTCACTGGGAAGCGGTGAAGAGGATAATCCGGTACCTGAAAGGTACAATAACCAAGAAGCTAGAGTACTCGACAAGCGGTCCAGCGGACATAGTTGGGTACAGCGATGCCGATTGGGGAGGAGATGCGGACGACCGGAAATCCACAACCGGTTATGTGTTCATGATGCAGGGAGGTGCGATCTCGTGGAACGTCAAGAAGCAGCCTACCGTAGCCCTTTCGTCCTGTGAAGCGGAATACATGGCCATGTCTCGCACGATCCAGGAAGCTATGTGGTGGAGTAATCTGCAGTCGCAGTTTTGCGAGGCCAAACCGATTTCCGTGTGCTGCGATAATCAATCGGCAATCAGCATCGCCAACAACGGTTCGTATAACCCCCGGACCAAGCACGTCAGTATACGGTACCATTTCGTGCATGATAGCCTGCAGCATGGTGTCGTCCAACTGAGCTACACGTCGACAACGGAACAGCCAGCCGATGGGTTCACGAAGCCGATGACCGTTCAGAAGCAGCAGAAGTTTCGGAAGCTAACTGGCGTCGCGGATTAGGGAGGAGTATTGTGATCGTAGCAACCCAGTAATTCGCGTCGCTATATGCACTTGTTATTAGTTGCTAAGTTTTTTGAATAAAATTTTCATTCCACTGTTCAACGTCAACCGATAAAGACGTGTTTCAATTACTCTCTACAATTCTTTTAGCGTCCCGTAAAACCAACAATCAATACGAAACTAACGATTTTAAATTGGCTCACTACTTGACTAGCTTATTAGTCCCAAGCAAACGATTAACGTATCCCATTCTAGTCGAAATTCTAGTACTACCCAATATTTGTTTTGATTCGCTATGAAAGTTTGACAGATAAAATGAGGGGTTATTGGTTTTTCCTATGTTTCGAGGGGTGAATCGATTAGCTTGGGACCGAAGAGAGTACCAGAGCTGAGCCAAAAAGTTGAGCACGTTATTTCGGGACCTTCTAGTCTTAGAGTTACCTCTATAGGCCTGTATAGAGATCGAAGCGAAGCGAAAATCTCATACAAAATACTACATTTTTCATCTGCGCGAAAAACGCAATTGGCAAATATTTCGCTTAGCTTTGAACGAAAATTGAAGCACGCGAAAAATCATGAAATTTCGCTAGCGAAAAAGGTTGTGAAAAAATGTTTGTGGAACATTTTACAGTTTCCTTTTTTCGCAGTTTACAGTTCATGTGAAACGAAATCGATCAGTTTACACCTCCGGTGAAGTGAAAATCTGACAGATACGCTCTCCCGAAACGTCAACTTTTCGCTTAGCTGCTGCTCTTTTCGAAAAAGATGCGATCCACAAAATTAGATTTCGCTGGATCGTATCTGTTTACAGTTCAAAGCGAAGTGAAAAATTTGCCAATTGTGTTTTTCACGCTGGTGAAAAATATAGTATTTTGTATGAGATTTTCGCTTCACTTCGATCTCTATACAGGCCTTAAAACGGGATGCCTTTTTTTTAAATAATGTACCAGAAGAAAATGATAAAACCGAAATTTTAAAATGAAAATGCATTTGCTATTTGTAAATTCATAAAAGATGAAATGATATATTTTTACGCAAAATTCCTCTGTAAACTGACATCTTTGTAAACATTTGAAAAGCTGCTAATATCACACATTTTGTTTTTCCAAATTCACAGGACTCCGCAACGAAAACGGTCTGGCCCGATTGTATCTATCTCCCGGACCGGAAGCGTACAAGATGGTCAGAAGCTTGTACAAAGACAACGTAGATTACGAACGCGAAGTTCCCATTTTGGCCGATTGTATGAAGGGTATCATCATCCCAACCAAGGAAAATATCCCGCAGGACGGTGTGTTACCGTCGCCCATCCCCGGTCTGCACCCGGTGTGTGAGAACAAGGTCTTGACAATGAAATTCCTCGATCCACAATACGCGGATGATTTCATCTATCCTTCCCGTAAATTGGAAGGAGCAAAAGATCAACCCAAGGTGCTGGGAGCGAATGAAGGGCCAGTGATCGGGTTCGGACAGCGAACGAATCGTGGAGGGTTGGGTAGTGCCGGCCATAGGATGATGAACCATTACGCTGGGAATGGCATGAACAATAGAGGAGGCAGAGGCGGCGGCGGCGGTGGAGGAGGTGGCGGTGGACGCAATGATTACAACAATTTCTCGAAGGGTAAGTACCACCGCATTCTTTCCGCTTTGCCTTATTATTTTCCAACCGGATGATTTTATCTACCATGCCGCGCTTGTTTCAAGAGCCCTTTCGCAAGCTAACCCCAGTCAGCTAGTCAGCCAAGTCTAGTAGATGCAGTGGATCTGGGGTTTGGCTTCAAGCGGTAGCAGGCGGGCGGTCGTGACAATTTGCGTTTTGGTGGCAAATTTTTGGCATTTGCGTCGTGATTGTGCCTGGCTGGGTCGGTCGTGGTGGGGTTTGAATCTAGCACTAGAGCACGTTTCGCCGTGTGACGGTTAATTATGATTGTGTGTAAGGAGGGTTGATAATGCTCAAAGTAGTGTATGGCTATGGGGTGAGTGAGTGGTGTGTACGATGTACGTTCTTACATCAAACGAGTTGCCATTGGGCAGGGATTAACTTGGTGGTGAAGTAAATTAAATCCGTAAAATAAATCTTTTTCTGACTTCGTTAGAATATTGGTACAGGTGTAGCTTTGGATACTGAAGAATATCGGAGCAATTCTCGCTGCAACCGTTCACTATTTGTTCTAGGTTTTGAAATATTTCAGAGTTGGTTGGAAATGCTAACATGAAGCTTTAGTGTGATAATTTATTAGCTAGAGAATGATCTTTTTTAGAAGAGAGTAGGCGGGAGTAGCCGTCAACAATGCTGATGATGGTACAGCACGCAACAACCACCCTACTGCTTTCTCTCTGAGATCATCACGTTGGTCATGACGAGAGGAGCAACACAATAGTTGGGTAAAGAAGAATTGCATTATAACACACCATCGACTGGAAATGCTCTCGCAACGTGAAGCTTTAGGTAGTGATGAAAACGTTGCTAGAACTATTCCACAGCCGCAGTCAGTTTATGAGCAAAAGAGGGACGCACATTTTTTGCCTGTAGACTTGGAGACATACTTCAAGTCTCCGCGTACATCGTACGGGTTAGGCAAAAGATGTGCGTCTATCTTTAAAAACTGTCGCATTAATGGCCCTTCGCTCATTTTCAACTTCTATTCAATTTTCATACTGCCGTACTCTAACGGAACTATCCACCTACTCTCTTCTAAAAAAGATCATTCTCTAGCTAATAAATTATCACACTAAAGCTTCATGTTAGCATTTCCAACCAACTCTGAAAATCGCTAACTTCGCGTATGAAGTAACATAAAAACACTTTGAATGTTTGAAATATTTGTTTGTATAGTTGAAGATGCTTAACGACAAATATCAGACGTGTTCATTTTATACGATAGACGAGGAGATGAAAGTTTGATAGTTTCGTTAGAGTATGGCAGTGTGAGAAAATTGTATAAGCGAGGATGGTACGAATCGGGTTGATCATATCCTTTACCAAACTCCCCCGTTTCTATTGTTGTTTATTGTTTATTGTTTATTGAAAAATTCAACTGACAATTATTGTCTAAATGTTTAAAACTTAAACTAAATAGTTACGGTCAACGGTACGGAAAAGGCGAAGTACCTGATGACGAAACACGTCAGCTGATATATTGAAGTCGAACATATAAAAAAAGTTGTTGAATTGCCGGCTGATTGTTCGAATTGGCTCGTGTTGTGTATAATTCCAGCTCCGTGGTTCCAAAAACAGAAAGTCGCGTTGACGAAAAGACCTCTAAGGGCATACATATTTAGCTGTGACAGCAATGTTGGACAGTCAATGTCACCCGTAAGCAGCTTTCCAGCGAATATAGCTTGAGCGACCGTCCGTCTCACCTCTAATGGCTCGATTCCCAGGAGATGGCAACGCTCCTCGTACGGAGGCAAGTTCGTTGGGTCACGCCAGTTGAGGAAACGAAGAGCATATCTCACAAACTTGCGTTGAACGGATTCAATTATAGTGATCCAGCTAGCATGGAAAGGGCACCAAACAACTGAACTTGACTCCAATAAGGATCGCAAAAGCGAGCAGTAAAGTGACCTGAGGCATAGCGGGTCACGAAACTCGTCGGCAATTTTGAAAATAAAGCCCAATTGTCGATTAGCTCTGGAGATGATGTCATTGTAGTGGATTCTGAAAGTGAGTCTGCAGTCCAAGGTAACGCCGAGATCCTTTATGTGCTCTACACGAGCAAGACAGCGTCCGTAGAGAACATAGTCAAACATGATTGGTTAGATTTTTCGGTGATAGGAAATAATGTTACAATTTTCTATGCTTAGACTCATCAAATTTCTTGAGCACCAGTCAGCAAAAATACCTAACATATTCTGGAGATCCCAGCAGTCCGAGAGGCTTTTAATAATTTGTAGATTTTCGTATCGTCTGCATAGAAAACGCGGCATCCTGATGGTATCAGCAAGGTGACGTCGTTTAAAAAGATCGAAAATAGTAGCGGTCCTAGGTTACTGCCTTGCGGGACTCCCGATTTGTTTGAGAAAATGGAGGCGAACCAGCCCAAGGCTGAAAGCCTCCCTAATAAAGATAAATTAATTAATTAATTGTTTGAGAAAACATCCGATTCCGACGCGTCAATCTTGACATGTACATAGCGATTCACCAAGTAAGATCTGAACCAATCCACAGCAGTTGACGAGATGCCAACGCCAAGTATCTCCAGCTTGGCCAGCAAGATATTATGGTCCACCGTGTCAAATGCAGCTTTTAGATCCATATACGCAGCATCGACTTGCCATCCTGAATCCATGCATCGCAGACAGTTAGAAGTGAACTGCACCAGGTTCGTGGACACGGAGCGCTACGGGTAGAAACCGTGTTGTTCTTTATCGATATAATGTTTGCAGCGTGCGAACAAAGCACCATTTATGATAATCTCGAACAGTTTTGAGCAGGCACACAGGGAGGTGATTCCACGATAATTTATGACATTCCGTTTATCTCCTTTTTTGTACACTGGGAACAGATAAGAAAGTTTCCAGCGGCAGGGGAACTCACATTGCTGTGCCGAGAGATTGAATAGCCTCGCAAGTGGAAGGCAGAGATTGGCTACACAACGTTTTAGAACTGATGACGGAATGCCGTCAGGTCCGGCGGCGAACGAGAGCTTCAGTTTGCGTGTTGCGGCTATCACCATGTCTTCTGAAATGCGCGGAATAACGAAACTAAACACATCACGTGGCATCCCAGCAGTAGCGTCCAGCACTTGTGTTGACGAAGTGGATAAATCGTGGAACACTTGCTTGAAATGATGAGCAAACAAGTCGCATTTTTCTCTTTCGCTATTAGCCGAGTCATTCCCGAGAAACATGGAACAAGGCAATCCGGATTCCTTCCGTTTTGAGTTGACAAACGACCAAAAACTTTTCACGTGTCGATTATAGAGAAAACGATTGTAATTTCGATAACTACGACTCGCAAAGTTGAACAGTCGTTTTTAGTACGGCGAGCGTGAGTTACAATACTTTCGGAGGGCGGCAGAGCGTTGACGTTTTAGCACGCGTAGGCGTGGGTTAGACCATGCAGGCTTTAGCGGAGGTCGTCGAGCTAGGACAATGCGGAAAATAGCATCTTCCAGTGCAGCACTGAAAAAATCCACTGCATCATTCACGCTAGCGGCTGTTTCGATTAATTGTCAATCAATTTCCGTAAGCGCATTGTTCAATGCAACATAATCGGCCCGGCGAAAGTCCAAAGAGTAGCACTCAGATGACGGCGTAAAAAGAATCGGCGTAGGTAAACTAAATGACACGACGAGAGCGGGATGATCGGCATCTAGATCGATCAGTGGCTCGACCGGCAAGGAAACAGAAGTGCCCGGTAGTGCGGAATCATTTGCCAGGACAAGATCTAGCAAACGTCCATTTCGGTTCGGAAAAGTATTCACTTGTGTGAACCCGTAAAAGTTAAAACCGTCCAAAAGAGCACAGCAAGCAACCGGCATATGCGAAAGCAGTTTGATTGTAGTCACCAAATACGAAAGCGGGAGAGCAGGGACTTAATTGTGACGAAATTGAGCCTAACGATTCCACATGCTCACGGATGATCGTGCAGTCGTTTTTGCGGTCGGGAGGCAGGTAGATTGCGCCTACACTAAGCTTGCTTTGTGGAAGTTCTACGACAATCCACAGCTGTTCCAGTTGACTGGAAATGGGTGACGTACTTACGTAGCTGGCTAGTCTAGTAGATACTGCAATCAGGACTCCGCCACCGCGCAATTTTTAGACCAGTCAGTTCTGAAGGCGGAATAGAGTGACCCGAAAAGTTGCGATGAGTAAATTCGGTCGTCCAGCCACGTTTCCGTCAGCACAATCAAATCATATTCGGCCTCCGCAAAAGCCTGGAAAAACGAGTCGATTTTACTCTTCAGCCCAGGCACGTTTTGGTCGTAGATCCAGAGACTATTCGAGGAGCAATCACGGGAACTAGAAATCGAAAGGACATCAGGTACCGAAAGCTCGGAATCGCTAACATACTCGCCTGAGGTTGCTGGCCGGAAGCCCCCGATACCATCACCGACGACAGGACCGAGACGATGACGATAGCGGATGTCTGCAGCAAGCGCGACTGGGTCGGGAGGTTCGGAAGCTTCCTCAATGCCTGTTTTAGGGTGTCCCGGATCCGAGGAAGAGCAGGTGGCGGCATAAACCTGCTGGTAGTTGGCAGGACGGATGCATGGACATGATGTGGCTAGTGTTGAGGTCGCAGAACCGGAAACACAGCTAGAAGTTGAAGCGGTATCAGGCAAAGGAGAAGCTGAATCGTCAATATACTTACCAGTAATAGCTGGTTGGAAGACCCCCGACCTACATCTACACTCAGGGTCGAGACGACTATGCAGAGCGCTGGCTGGAATAACCGCGACTGAGGCAGAGAAATCAGGGGCTTCCACAGTGCTATCCACGATGCGTCTCGATGGTGATGGTGGTGGTCCAGAAGCAGTAGAGGTAGCAGCATTATTCTTGGAAATCGTGGAAACATCATGAAGCGTTGCACTGGAACACGGAAACTGATCAGGCAAATGACTATAACTAATGTATGCATACTTGCCTGAAGACGATGCTTGGGAGACCCCACCA